TTGAGAATTCAGACCAGAGCGGGGTCAGGACTCTGTCAATTACTACTGACAAGCATTTTCTTAAAGACCTTGGGAGCGAAGTCTTTCACTAACTAGCTGGGCTTGTAGAACTGCAGGTGAAGGTTTTCTGCTCTACCATCCCAGCCAGTTAGGTGGAAAACAAAAGATGAAAAATCCCTTCTTCACAGATCCTTTGCATTATAAATTGTTTGATTCTTACCTTTTTTTTTAAACCTCAGTTCACTTTCGTTCTCAGCTGCACTGCAGTTTAACTTCTTCCTTTAGATACATTCCATTCCGTAGCACTTTTTTCTCCCAGTATTTGAAACTCATTCCTGTTCTTGTTAAAATATACTGTTTTCCCACCTAGAACTTTAAAAAAATATATATTCTCTCTGATATTTTAATGCTTTCATAATTTATTATTTTTTAATGCTTTTCCACCTGCTGTAACTTTCTCTCAGTTTTTCAGCACATCACGTGAAAGGTAGAAAATTTATATCCCCATAAACCCTCTTTAGTCTCTGGAGTTATTTTGCTAACCAACCTCTTCCTCCCATTTTAAGAGGTTATGTATAGATCAAAAAGCACCGGGGATGGTGAACAGATTACAGCTCAGCAAAAGAGAGCAGGATTTCTGGAGTCAAACCAACTTGGGTTGGAATCCTGACTCCACCCTTTTCTACCAGTGAGGCCCTAAGCAATCTCCGTAGCCTTTCTGTGCCTCGTTTCTTAATCTATAAAGTGTAGATAATAATACTTAACCTGTGGAGTCATTTGAGGATGAATGACAGCATATGAAGAAAGAGCTTCTGGGTCCAGGGTGTAGTCCAGAAACCACTCAGGAAATGATCATTTAGTGTTGCTACATCTCCGATGTTGTCACACCAGGGTGATGAGTGGACAGGTCTGTCCCAAAAAGGCTAACTTCATCACCCGAGAGAGGATTCTGTCTTCAGTGAACATTTCTTGACTCCAAAAAAGTCTCTGAATGGGGTGTCTTCACACCATAAGCAATTATGAGGTATGTGTTCTGTGCTAGGCTTTCTGGAGAAATGATTAGAGCCCAGCCTCAACCCTCAAGGAGCTTAAAATGTGGTTCAAAGCTAGTGCACAAACTCAACTATGATGTAAAGTAAAAAGTGTACATTCTAGAAGATTCTCGAAGCGCTGTGGGAGATAAAAGAAGACAACAGGATTTCAAGCCAAAGACGTTCAAAACCAAACCCGATATGGCCTCACTTCTGCAGCCAGACTAGTTCCTGCCCAGCATTCCCCGTCCCCTGAGTGGGCACTGGCCTGCGTTCAGATACCGCCGGGGCTCTGGGAAGCTCTTGCCACCACTCTCTCTCCTTCCCTTCTGCCGCCACCTGGCCACAGGGCTGAGAAAATCCTCTCTCGTTAACATCTGCTAAACCTCCCCATCTGTCTTCACTTCCAGTGACTTCCTTCTGTGGTTCTCACATCTCAGTCCCTTAGAATCCCCTGGATGGCTTGTTAAAATACAGATTGATAGGTCCCCACCCCCAGAGTTTCTTCTGTTTCCATTGGTTGGGGTGAGATCTGAGAATTTGCATTTCTAACAAGTTGCTACCCCAGTTGTTGCTGATGTTGCCGGTCTGGGGGCCACGCCAGGAAGCACTGTTTTAGTTCATGCCCTCATCATGTCCTATGGGGATTATTGCTCCATCTTCCTAGCTAAACTGTCCCTAATCCTTCCCTTCTTCTCCTTCTTCTTCACATTCTCCACCCTGATCACAGATCTGGAAGGGGGGAAAAAAAAAAAAAAGCCCTTTCTGACCGTGGATTGCCCAGAGCATAAATGTCTAAGTTCCTCACATGACCTCCAGGGCCTTCAGTGACCTTCCTCTCTAGTCATACCTGCTGCGGGCAGATCCCACACCTGACCTCCAGCACACAGAACTCCTGGCAATTTTAATATCCAGGTCATTTCGAGTTTTGTCCTTTGCATCTCCTGCCCACTCTGTCTGCAATGCTGCAGGTCCCTTTCTTCACTTGCTAATTCCTGCAGGTCCTTGCAGGCCACTCAGGAATGCCTCCTTGGGGGAACACTACCTCTCCATCTGCAGGCAGAGATGGATGCCTCACGTGACTCTGTGCATGCTACCCCGTGGTGGTTATTGCATAATGAGACTTGCCTGCCAGTCCACCTCACCCACAAGGCCTTGAGCTTCCCGAGAGCAAGAGCCAAATCTTTTATCTCTATAACCATGACTCCAAGCAACACATCCTGACACAGAGTTGGAAATCAATGGATGTTGAATGAAAGGAGATCCAGGAAGCCTGGTTTGAAAGAGGCAGGCACTTTAGCTAGATGTAAAGGTGGTTAGGGTTTGGACGTACAGAGAAAAGAGGAAGGACATTCCATTTAAGAGGAAGCTTGGGCCTGAGCTTGGACACAGTCAGGCTTGGACACAGTGTGAGGAAGAAACAAAGAGAGGTCTGGTTTGGCTGGCCACGGGACATCTTGAACACCAGTTGAGGGTGAGAATAAAGGTAGACTCGACATGACTCAGCAAGTGATTAAGTACAAAAGTCAGGAAAAACCCAGATCAAATGTAAAAATATGGATAGTGCCATTAACCAGGACCACACTCTCCAGAGATGGAGTACGCTGGATGAGGGCTAAAGATGGACGAGGACCAAGAGTGTGGTTTGGGCCATCGTGGATTTGGGGACACCATCGGGACACACTCCACTGTCTGGTCTTCCGGTGCCTTCGCTCTCACCTTATTTATGTTTTGATCTCCAGGGCCTAGTAGGTGCTCAATAAATGCTGAATGAAGGTAGGCAGTGGAATACATAATAAAGGCCAGCAGAAATCCTGCATGAGCCAAGGAAGACGACAGGTGGTCTCTGAGATGATTTTAGGTAGCGCCATCATCACTTATTATGCCACCCATGTGGATCAAACTCAGGCAAGAGGAAAGGCAGGCTGCTGGCAATATGGGGGGTGGGCTTAGGGAGGCAGGAGGGAACTCTGGGGAAGGGCAGCATGGGCACAGAAGACCACTGCCTGCCCTAGACCTGGGGAAAGTCTTAGTATTTGTGAAGACAGTCAAGGGACACCTTGACCGCAATGCCTCTACCCTGTGGTAGCCGTCCCTTGTAAGTGGCTTCACTATTTGTGTGCAGCGACGGAAGGTATGAGAGATGGATATACCCCCCGCCTTCACAGTACTAATGCAATAAACATGAGCATTAGTACTTTCCTTCTATGTTTAAAGGTACGTCGAGAAAGGGTTACGCGCTGTCACTGCTAATCCATTTCTCCCTGTGAAATAGACAGCTTTATGACTATTATGACACTGTTCTCCAAATCTAACCACTACTGTTCTTCCATTCAATTTAACACATTGACATGTGTTTAGAGAATGTAAAATAATGTTGAAAATGTGAAAGAAACGGTTTTTCTTCTGACCTGTTCTTGCAGCCTTCCTGGACAATACCAGGGGGCTTTCTCATATTACTCGTATGTGTGCAGAGACATAGTTGAATAAAAATAACCTAGAGATTAAAGCATTAAGTGGTCTTTATATTAAACACACACACAGTGAAGAGTTATGTTTCTAAGCAGACATCCTCAGATGTCTTGGGTTGTGCTTCCAAATCTGTAATTCTAGTGGGTAGATCCATCAGAAATCAAAATTTGCAGTGTGACCAAGCAGGGAGTTCTATTGCCAAAAGCAACTAGGACATACTTGGGGTTGCGGGGGGGGGGGGGGGCAGTTACGTAAAGGATCAACAGAAGATAAAGAGGCAGGATTCAATTTCCTTTTATGCTCTGGCTGGGGGACAGGCAGACCATTATTTACCCCTGCCTGCCACTGATGAACAAAGCACAAGGTTATGAGCCGCAAGTCAGTGACTTTTAAAATTCAATTTCATTTCTTTAAACAATCATTGTGAGCATGAATATCTAATTAAAGGCTTTAGACACTGAGGTCCTAATGTAACAATCTGTGATGCAGATCCTAGTTGGAGTTCCTTCATCCAACAAATAGTTATTGAGCATTTCTGTATTGTCAGCCCTGTGTGGGACATGAGGGAGAGCTGGGTTTTCTGTCCTGGATTTCCAGGCTCTGATTTTATCATTGTTGCTGCCACTGTGGTTAACAGACGGGCTACTGCCTTTGTTTCCAGTTTTCTAGTTCCTAAGAGATGCTGTACTTCTGATGTCCATCCAAAGCGGCCATTTTCAATGTGCTCTTAAAAGAATTCCACTGTGTGTCAGTATTGATGGGGCCAATTAGAAACTCTAAGGAAAGTGGAATTCAGGAAGTCAGGGAGTCGTAAGAATGCTTGGAATTTCTAACAGATTTTGCTAAACATTTTGACATGTTCCAGAAGACCATAAACGTTGGTTTGTACAAATATAAACTCCTCTTTGCCTTGCTGATAACTGCAAATAAATACTTCAGATGACCACCCACCAGAACCCCAAGAAGTTTTGGGCATTTGTGTGTTCCCTATAAAATATTTTGCTTTGTAAATTTTTGTAATCAAAGGGGAAAATCATGAGATGTTACCTCCTTTTCCCCCCACTGTTAAATTCTGCAGAACCAGTTTCAAATATTTCTGTGAATCTCAGTAATATCATTATAGAAATGTAAAATAACGTTTAACCTCTTGTCTTGATTTGACTTTTAAAGGAGGGGAATAAAGACTTTTTTTTTTTTTTTTTACTTGCATTTCAGTACAGCCAGATGCTGAATTCTCCAGTTAAAATGACTTAACCTGTCACATTGTTTTCATGGTAGCAATCAACTAAATTAAATACAGGACTATAAATTTGGATAACAGTTTTATTCAACAAGAAGCCTACCGTAAAGTTCGTAGTTGCTGCACCAAACACAGCTGTTTTGGCCCTGGTCCAAGAGGTAATAGTGAGGATAAAGGAGTAGGGAACATAACCTTTAGCTTAGTAGAGTTTGGTAAATTCGATCCTATATATGCTAATTTTGTACTTTTTTTAATAGATGGAACTGATTAAAAATATAAGTACTGCCGAACAGCCCTATTTATTCACTCGACATGTTCATTTCCTCAACTTCTCAAGGTAAGATATTTTCCAGCTTAACGGTTCTTTCATTTCTTTTTAGTACTTAAACTCCTTCTAACGCACAGTTATTTTAAAATCTACCTTCATTTTCAAGGTAGTGTAATTGCCCCTGAAAAGACTTTTTAAATCCATTTATTTTTGCTGTGGAGGGATCCAAATTTGAAATATTTGGACAGAAGCTTCATTTCTTTCTCGAGTACTAATCTTAAATCTTTTGAAAACTTGAAATAATTTTAATGCAAACCCATTTGACCTGATAGTTTCATTTTAAAGAAAAAATCGGGTAGGTATTGAAACAAATTAAGAGGCAAGAGATGGGTATTTTAACAGAAGTATTTCATTGCACGTGTTTATACAATTTGAACCCACACGGGACTCTGGGAATAACTTAGTTGTGGAGTCATGTATTTTATAGGATCCAAAATGCTAGGACTGGCCTCTCTGCCTACCTTTTTCATACTCCATTTGATTATTCTAAATCTTGCACAATTGATGCTGATGGGGTATTTTAGAACTCTTTTTTTTTTTTTTCAACTGCAGGGCCTTCTGATCCTAATGCAATCTTCAAATTTAGGGTTTTAGACTCTTGATATGTTAAGTTGCTAGCTTCCAGTTCTGAGCATTCTTTTCCTCCTCTAGCCTAGGTCCCCTTGTCACTATCCACTCTCCTCTCTTCAGGCTGGCCCGAGTCTGCTCACAGTTGGTATGGGCTCGACAGAGCACTGGGTCCAGGGGCAGATCTGCTGAACAGCCTGGGACCCCTGGGTCTCCCTCATCCTCCATCTGACAGGCACTTCCCTTACTGCTACAGTTCCCGTGGGATAACAGGACCTCACAAGTCTGCAAGAGAGCAACAGAGATCCTGCTAGCTAATGCTGGCCTAAAGCCCCCCAACCCTCGAGGTCCAGGCACCCAGGGAGGCTGGTGCTCAGGGAAAGACAGGGCTCCGCCTGAGTGTTCCCTGCTCCTGAATTCACACCTGGACTGCTCAGAGTTGGCACAGCTGCCCAGCCCCAGGATACCTAACAGCATAGGGGCTGGGAGGAGGTTTTAGCCTTCAAAGGACTTCCCTGCTGTGCACCAGGCCCTGTGCAAATCAAGTGTAAAGAGAGTGAGATTCAGCGGAGCAAGTTATGGAGCAGCAAAGAGAAGGTGCCGCCTTATCTTTAAAAGCAAGTTCCCCCTGAAATTTCCCCACCTACCTGATAACCAGAGTTCCCTTGGATGGTGAATAAGCATATAGGACACCTGCAGATGATCCTCAGTGACTCAGTAGCCTGAGTGTGTTTCCAACCCCATTTGTGGAATGACTTGTTGCTGGATTGTCTGGGGTATGCGCCCTGCCTCTCACTTCCAGCCAGCCAAGAACATATAATTAGACATAACTAGATAACCAAGTCTTGTTAGCTATTTCAGGCATTGTGTTTTACGACTTGCAGAGAGCAAAGCACAGCTCCTCTCGCCCTTGCTTTTTTTGTGAGCTTCCTTCTGCGTCACCCCTGACATCCTCTAACCTCGTGATTTAACTCTTCTTGATTCATGGGTCAAATTTTTACAACCAAAACAAATTGCAATGCAATGAATTTTAATAACCGACTCAGGACAGTGTAAAACTCTAATGACAAGCCAAAGCCAGTACCTTAATTGGGTCTGCAGAGCTGAGCACAGCATGGCAACCATACCTTATCATGGCCTCCACTATTAAATACATGTTTGAGAATTATTTAATTTTGATCAATTTAATCATGAAAAAAGTTGGTAAGTACCTTTGAGAAGGAAGATACCACATCTGCAGAAAATAGTGTTGGCCTGACTGCCAGGACCTCTGTGTATGAGACCTTCCCACTGACCATGGCTCTGGGCTAGCAATTTCACCTCTGGGCAGGGATGGGAGGTCTCTGTTTTCCCATCTATAAAACAGGGACAGGTCCTGCCCACTCCTACCTTGTGGGGATGATCCAAACACATGAATGAAGGAAAACCCTTCGGCTTCCTTCAGAGAAGGATATTGCATATATGCAGTGCGGACTTTATTTTTTAAGGGGAAATAATTTCATTTGAAATAAAACAAGTCCAGATATATATTGACTACTATGCACACTTAAAAAAAAATGTGTACCAACATAGATCATTCTGAATAAATTATAGCAATTTATAGTAGAGCGAAATTGAAACATATATTCCTATTTTCCTTATGAAAGAGATTGTTGTAAGTAGTCTTTCCTCTGATATATCCCAATAATCTTCTTTTTTCTCATACTTTCCTATTAATTTTCAGCTGGAAATGCTGCATCACTTTTGATTTTTTTTCTATCCAGGTTGTGTGTCTATTTGATTGTATATTAGAAACGATACACATTTCTATGTCTCTGACAACTGCTTAGCCCTATGGAAAAATTACCTTTGTAGTTTCTACAAAGTTACTTTTGTAGACCTCTGTAGTTTGCAGAGGTCTGTGAAGTTCTCTGCTGCTTCCTCAAGACAACCTGGGCAATATTGCAAAGTGGCATTGTGGCATTCAGGAGCATTTCTGTAGAAGCCTCCTTCGGGGCCTACAGTTGAGTGCCTGTCCCTGGGTAGCTTCGCAGTGTCCCCATGACCTTGAGAGCAGGGCCCAGCTCATGCTGATTTCTCCTTCCGCCATTCCATTTTGTTCAATAAACGCATTTTTGTATTGAGGACCTTCTATCTCCTATAGGCTGCTCCAGGACTGGGACTTCCACAATGAACTAGAAGTGTTTTCCTTGGAGGCGCCTGGGTGGCTTAGTCGGTTAAGTGTCTGCCTTCGACTCAGGTCATGATCCCAGGGTCCTGGGATCGAGCCCCACATTGGGCTCCCTGCTGAGCAGGGAGCTTGCTTCTCCCTCTGCCTGCTGCTCCCCCTGCTTGTATGCTCTCTCTCTCTCTTTCTCTCTGTCTGTCTTAAGTAAATAAATAAAATCTTTAAAAAAAAAAAAGTTTGCTTTTGGGGAAGTGTATGCTCTCCTTCCATTAAAGAAGAATGGCAACAAAGTGTGACGACTTTAGGAGAAACGGTCACGGGGTCTCCCCCAGGGGAGGTGGGAGGCAGGAGGCAGGACCCTCCCTCCCTGGAGGAGGAAGTGTGGAAGGACTTTCTAGAACAGTCACCATTGCTGCTGGGATGTGAGGGGCGGGCCAGCTTTAGACAAAGGGGAAGGGCATTGGTGGCACAAGGACCAACATGAGCTAAAGCCAGAGAAAGAGAGGGATCGAAAGGAATCAGTAGATAGGAGCTCAGGGGCAGGCACAGCAAAAGAAGATGACAGTCGAGAGTTTCAAGCAGGGGAAAAAGGAGAGACTGGCCTGAGCAGCTCTCTCCTTTAAAAAGCTCACGCTACCTTCGGGAGCAACCTCATCCTCTCCTGCCAACCCCAGGCACGAGGCTGGGGCTTCAGGTAGGAGACCTCCACGAGCATGAATAGAATGACAAATCCAGCCTTACTACTTTACAAGACTGTGTTCAACCCACTGAACATGGGAAGTTAAAACACCAGCTTTTCTTTTTCCAGGGAACAGCTTTAAGGGAAAGGCCTTAGTTGTAAATGGCAAACTGGGTATGTAAAGAAAGCTCCCAGTACACAATTCACAGAAAAACCACCACATCGGAACGTGTTGAGGGCTTTCCTATGCTTTTAGAATGGAGTTCTATATTTTGAATTGTAAGGCAAAGAGATAATTAAGCTACTCTTAAGAAACCTACCCTGATCATTGCTGACAGCCATATATATGGTTGGCTTGGTTCAAGATAATGAGGTTATTAAGAGAAGACTTGATACTGTAACTTAATAGTCTTTGTTGATATTTGATTTCTAATCTTCCTTACCTTCTTAACATGCAGCAAGACACTTGCTGGTGAGCAGAATATAAGAATGAGAGTCTCACCTCCCTACAGCTGGTGCACATAACTGTTCTGGACTTCTGAAGTGAACAGCATTGTGCCAAGACGAATTGCCCGTTATTTCTTTTTTTCCATTAAGTACTGCATTCTTATCTCAAAATGTAGACACTCTAACTGATGCAAAATACTATCCTGTGAGCTCTTGGCGGTTAGATAGCTGACTTGCTTCATTTATTCATCATCTAGGCATCTTGCTCTGTTCCTTCTTTTCCCTAATTTTAGACCTAGAAGGACCATTTCATCATATCCAGTTTTATTAATTCAACCACAGAAAGCAAGAGTGATCACACCAAACCGGTATTTTCATCGTTGTTTCGGGGAAGGCTTCCTGCCAGGGGAGATAAGCAACTCCAAACCCAGCAGAAATTTCAGGCCGGTTGGGATTTGTGGGTGTTTCCACGAAACTGCTCTTTTCACATGGTTTTTGAACTGCTTAAAACTTTGAGCCAGACAAATGTTTTCCAACTAAACTACCTGGAGAATTGAGTCAGAATGACCACGGCCTAAAAGATGCTACTCTTTGTTGTGATGTTTTAGGAGGATTTTTAATATTTGTGTACTCTGCTTTCCTGTGTCCATTCCCAGAGCTAACCAAGAGAATTACAATTTTTGAAAAAGTTCAGCCTCTCAGCATCAACGAAATCTCCTTAAGGGCATCCCAGATCCATACACTGCAAAGACTGTGATGGACAATTCAATTTATCTTCCCGTCACCCCCACTTTTTGTTTGTTTGCTAAGTGTTTTTGGGAGGGTGGAGAGGAGGCAGTGACTTTCCAGCCTAGGGGCCCCCTCAACCCCAACCTGGCGGCTGGCAGGGAAGAACCTGGGAAGGGCTGGGTCGGAGCACTGTGCTGTCAAAATAATCCAAGCGGATTACAGGACAGATCAGTGCGCTCAGCAATTTCCAACTATAGCCTCAGAGGCCTCCTTTCACGGCAGGCTACGTTTCTCGTTCATGACTTGCTCACCCTCCTTCCGTTCTGCTGCTTTTCCTCATTTATCTCCCATGGTGGCTCCAACGCCAGTACAAACTCGCAAAAGCAAAACATTTAAAAATAAATCAATCACCCGAGAAGCAGGCAGGGTGCCATGTGCGAGGGGAGGCGTTTTGGACACTTTCCTCTCTTCCCTTAACGCGAGGCCTTCATTACCCGCGCCAGCAGAGGGAGGCTGCCCTCCGATGGCACTGTTTAACAAAACAAATCCCATCTTACTGATTTCAGAATTCCGTCGGCCTTCCACATCTTCCTTCTAAATGTTGACTTGACATTCTCATTAGCAAGGCCTTCCACTTTAACCCCCGTGCCCTGTAAATCTTTTGTAGTGGTGACAGAAGTCTCTAACTTTGAAGAGGGCATCAATTGGTAATAGATTGGTATCAGCCGTTGTTGAACACTTTCTTTCCCTCCTTAAGCATCACCCAGAAGTTTGATTTTATGCTGTTTAAACACTGCTGGGCCCAGACCTGGGAAAATGGTGCTCTCTCCCTCAGTCTCTTCTTTCCCCAAGGGGAGATTCTGCTGCTTGGTGGACACAGAAGCCCACCTGCTTTGTGGGCCCGATGAAGACTGGGATCATCATCTGGGCTTTCCCCGAGTCCGCCTCACTGCACACCACCAACGACCTTCCCTAACGAAAGATATACTTTCAGTAAAATGGAAATTGCCAGGGGCCCAGAGGAGGGGAATATAGAGCTTGGGTTTGGGATGATGAGAAAGTTCTGGGATGGATGGTGGTGAGGGTTGCACAACAGAGTGAATGTACTTAATACCACTGAATGGTGCAGTTAAAAAGTCTTATGTATGTCTTACCATAATTTAAAAAAAAGGCATACTTTCAAAAAGTGTTTCTAGCCCTAGAAAGCTGTCTTAATTCCCTAGAATAATTTTGGTCATAAGGTTTATTGTTTACTATATGCGGTAATATTCTAGGCAGAATATCATCAGCAATTGGATGAAAGTATACCTAAAATTCTTACCCACATGCTTTTCACAGCTGTTGGAGAAATAGCTAATGTTGTGGGTTAATTGGTTAAGTAGCAGTGTGGGGCAGATATAGAAGAAAATCCTCAGAATGAATTATTTAGGAATGCCTGAGAAAAAAATGAGAACCATGTCATTATTATTCCTAGAGAATTACATCCTGCTCGGGATCTTCATCCTCTCCTCAAAAAACAAAAATAGAAAGAATACGATAAATTTGCAGAGGGTCAGAAGGAGACCCACAGGGGTGAATAAAGAGTTGACAAATAGGACGTATGAACAGAAGTCAAAGAAATTGGAAATACCTGCTATTTTAGGATGACTTAAAAGAGAGCTCAAATAGTAGCTCTTGTGGTGACCAAAGGACAAGAGAGTGTGTTGTTAAGAGAAAAAGAAAATAGGGCCTGACTTCTTTGCTCTAGTGTGTACGCACAGCACAGAACCTGTCCTCATTGTGGTCAGCACAGTTGTTTAATAAAGACCAAATAGTTTAATAAAGACCAAATTAGAAGTACAGATTAAAAAATAAAAGGAAGTAAGTCTGAAGACAACTGCTGAAGGAATTTTCAAGAAGAAACACACACAAAAGAATTTAAAGGAATTAAAATTGAAGCTGAAAAGGCTTAAAGTTGTAAAAAAAAAAATCTATAAAGAGAAGCCAATTCTTTATGTTGAGTGGATCAAACAAAAGGAAATGCGCATAAAGGAAGATTAGGAATTTTGGCTGGGTGTACCAGAGACTCCTCAGCTGTCTGGCTTAATAGGATGGGCTTCACCTGGAGGCTCTGGAAATGTCTCTTCAGAGCTGAAAACATAAGGCAGAGTGTTGTGCTGTGTGAGATTGGGTGGGGGTGCAAAGCATTCTCTCTCTCTCTCTCTCTCTCTCTCTCTCTCTCTCTCTTTCTCTCTCATACAAGCAGCAGTAGTAGGTTCAGGGGATTGAGAGACCTTCTAAGGGTGACCAGAAATTCTGACTAGAATTAAAAAGTGTGGAAGGAGGAGAAATTGACCTTGAGAGAGGGTAGGATGAGGGGGGGAAGGGGTGATATGCTGGCCTCCTTTGTATAACTGACATGCCACCCCAATTTTGCCAGTTTGGGAGGGAGCTCTGTGTCCTAGAAAAAGGACTGGGGCTGGTAGCCTGAAACCATTATTACTGTTGATTTCTGGAAAGAGGGAGATATATATCAGACATCTCTCTACAGTTAAAAATTTTGAGAGTAGCTATTATATTATCTGATGCTTAACAATGAATTCCTAAGCCATCTAAAACTTCTGTTTTGGGAAAATTATTCTGCAAATCTTGCATTGGGCTACAGCGTGCAATTGGGAGCAAGTCACCCATGCTCAGGAAGCCTGTGAGTCCTCATGGCCACAGTGTTAGGGGGAAGATGGCTGTGGCCAGTTTGAGAACTATCTCACCATGGGAAGCTGTGCGTTGATTCACATGATCGGGCAGTTCTGCTAATTAGCAGTGATGGTCATTCTTCACATGAAGATAGAATTAGAGTTGAGGTTTTTTTAAAGCATGATGCAGTTGCTGAGGTTTTAATTGCATTCACATCTGGTAGGCATGCTTTGTCTTCCTGACCCTTAGCTTTATTACTTTAGTTGCTGCTTATCATAGATAGGAGACTCAATTTAATTAAAAAGAGGAAGATCCATCCAGGATGATAGCGGCTAGCCGGCTTGGCACAGCTGACTTCTGAGGCTAGTTGGTTGCCGTGTTCATGCAGATGCATGGATGTCACCTGCGTACATCTTGGAGCTGACAAGATTCGTACTGGCAGGGCGCCTGGGTGGCTCAGTTGGTTGGGCGACTGCCTTCAGCTCAGGTCATGATCCTGGAGTCCCGGGATGGAGTCCCACATCGGGCTCCCTGCTCAGCAGGGAGTCTGCTTCTCCCTCTGGCCCTCTTCCCTCTCGTGCTCTCTCTCTCTCATTCTCTCTCTCTCAAATAAATAAATAAAATCTTAAAAAAAAAAAAAGATTCATACTGGCATGGCTAACCTTACTCATGAGCAGCGTGTTTTCCAAGGTGGAGTCGTCCAGGAGTCCAGAATGTCATTCATGCAACTTGGTGCCTGAAATTCCACCCCTGGAGAGTCATTTCTTTTTGTACCTTTGGATTCTTCTCTCTGAGGGTTCCCTTTCAAAATGCAGATAAACCGAGGATGAGCATTATGTGCATTAATACCCAAAAAATTATGTGCATTAATACACAAAAAAGGATCAGTGGCTTGTTATGTCAACTTTCCTCTACGGCAGAGCCCTGTGATAGCAACAGAAACTTACCAGCTCAGAAGCATATACACCCAGGCAGTCATGTCTTCATGGGTTGAGCACCTACTGTGTGCCATGCACTGTGCTAAGTGACATCATTCCCTGCTCCAGGAGGCAGTCTGATGGGAGAGGCAGACCTGGATGCACAGTGCTGGAGAGAGGGCGGACACAGCATGGGACTGACCTGCTGAGGGATGTGACTGATTCTGGCCTGGGTTTTGAAAGGTGACCGAGTCTGCCAGCTGAAGAGAAGGGGGAGGCTCATGTCCGTTTGTTTTCTCTGAACTCCTTCTGACCCCTGGTAGAATGTCAAGGCATCCTCATCAGAAGGTCATGGGGTCACAGGGTAAAAGGAGCCTGTGGGTCCTTCAGGGGGTCCTTCAGAGCAAGACCTCTTTGCAGAGCCTGGAGTGTTCTCCCAGGCTTCTCGGGGTTACTGTTTTTAAGCGGGTTGAAGAGAAGGGGGAGGAATCCTCAAAAACAAGTCAGCTGACCTTATCATTTTGCCTCGGGAAGGCCTTCCCCTGGGCTAGCATTCAGAGCATTTGTCCAGTCCCTTTGTGGAAGGCATTAAAATGAAACACCTAGATTGTTTTATTTTTATCTAAAACCACTTGAGAATATTTATATTGATTTCTGCTGGGTTCACAATGTCCCTTACATTATTACTTTTCTCAACTCTGGAGTCTTGTCTCCATGGTTCAGAGCACAGCTTCTGGAGCCTGCCTGCCTGGGTTCGTAGCCTGGCTCAGCCACGAACTACTCAGGCTCTCGCTGCCCCCCGGTGTAAATGGGGAAGATTATGGTTTCTACCCCACGGAGGTGTTGTGAGGCTTCTGTGAGTTGGTCACAAAAGGTGTTTACAACAAAGTGACTTCATAAATGTTGTGTGTGTTTAATAAATGTTGGCTGATATTACCCACTTCCTGGAGAGCACCTTGCCTGAGACTGTTCGAGTCAGAATGTAGAATAAAGCACCATCTCACCCAGCGAGGGAATCAGAATTTATCAGACGTTCTGTGAGGGCCAACCACCTGTCAGTGTGTCCGTACCAGACCCTGGGAATACAAAACCCGACCCAGCATGCCCCCGCCCCCAGGAGCCCGCAGCCTAGTGAGAAAACAAGACAACATCCGCACCTCCCTGCTGACAAATCCAGTCATTTCCATAGAGCTCTACCACAGTCCTCCCAACCTCCCAGTAGGCACCTGCAGACACTTCCTGCACATAGTAAAATACCCATCGGGAAACGCTCTTGCCAATGACATCGTTCCCTGGGACCTTAGTGGATGGGGGTCCTCTCATGACGGTATATGACCTAGAGGGGAAGCAGTGTCTACATGGGCTTTATTTTCCTCCAGAAGTGACGGGTTGTAACCAGCTCCGTGTTTGTGTGCGTGTGTTAGGTTTGGAGGAGACCAGCCTGTCTACATCAACATCATTAGAGACCCCGTCAACCGGTTTTTATCTAACTATTTTTTCCGTCGATTTGGAGACTGGAGAGGGGAACAGAATCACATGATCCGCACCCCCAGCATGAGGCAGGAGGAGCGCTACCTGGTAAGTCCTGTCGCATCCTCAAGAAGCGTTCCCTCCCCTGCCCCGGGCGCTCCCCTGGAGGCCGGGAAGCTCTCCTTCTCCTTCCCCATGGCATCCCCGTGGCATTTCCATGGCATTTCCATGGCACCCTCCTCAGGGATGATGTTTTTGCCAGTGAAAAGCTAATTGTCCCAGATGACCCAGATCCTGATGAACATCTTCTCAAATGACTTTCTAATCTTGTTTTCTGCGGTTTGTCTTTAGTGCTAGGTTTTAGATCCTAGAGAAGAAAGAACCTTTCCTAGAGGATTCTGACAGGCGCTGTTGGCGTTTAGATGCGTTTAGGAGTCCCTCTGAGAGGGTCACAAAGTGTTTTCCTGTGAGAGAGGGGTGTTTTCAGAGGAGACCCTGCGATTCCATAAACGATGTGGGGACACAAGCCTGACTGTTTACAGGTCATCTGATGTCAAGTCCGGTTCTTGCCACCACGGCACGACAGAGTCAGGCCGTTTTGGCAAAAACTATGATCTTTCTGGACCTTGTTTGGGGACCCTCAGCTCCATGGGGATGTGAACTTTGACCCTAGTAGCTGTTTCCATAGTGCAGAGTTGGGAACAAAAAACGGAGGGCCGAGTGATGCATCTTTCTGCCAACACCAGAGCCAAAGTACGTTTCTCACCTGCTTGTGACCTAAATTGACAAAAGCTTGCTAAGTAGCCGAGAGCCCGTGGTCCGGAAGCAGAAATCCTGGTCTGTGTGTCGGAGGGAGCCTGGTGGGGTCACCCACACCCATCCTGGGCTGTCGGGCACAAGCAGAAGGAGCAGAAAGTAAAGAGGCGTCCATGCACCTCTGTTCCCAGGGCGGGAGAGTGGCGCAGAGCCTGAGCCCACTGCTGCCAAGGCCACAGAGCGTCCTTGTAGCTAAGGACGAGTGTCGTTACTCCCAGGTCCAGCCAATGACCAAACTTCTCTTAATTTTTAAAAATGTAATAAGAGTATGTGTTTGGAGGATGGGAGCATTTTGGATGATGTCACTTTTGTGTCTTAAAGTCCACGAGTGCAGTTGAGAAAACAGATGCACGAAGGTTGTGTCTTATCTTGTGCAAAACAGCTCACTCACAGATGGGCCAAGACCAGAAACTAAGCCTCTTGCCTCACCATTCAGGATTTATTCAACTACCTAATGCTTTAATGAAATATTTTTAAAGCGGCTCTTATGCTTGTTTTGAAATTTTGATGGCAAAAACTCTAATCTTTTTCTTTAAACTACATGTTATGAATATGGCTACATATTTTTTTCTCAGCAACAAGTACATTTTCGGAGTACAGAACCCCTTACCAGTGATGCAGGCAGGCCGGGTCCCAGGACCCAGAGCGGAAGTCCCGCAGGACCAGCCAAGAGGGTCCTTGGCTTGACGCAAGATGGAAATCAAATGCGAGCCAGCAGGAGGTGAAAACAGACTTAACTGAAGATCTGTAGAGAAAGACATCTAGATGGAGCATCCGGGAGGCTTGGAAAGGAAAGAGGGAGTCTTGTCTTTGCTTGGGGTCTGGGGTTTTTATTGACGATTATGGTCTGGTCCATGTGTCGTCTCAGACCTCCAGGAACTGGTCGGAACAAGGACAGGGTCCAGGGGTCCTTCATCAGTCACTCATTCCCCGAAGCCAGTGGTCCTGGCGTGGAGATGTCTAGCGCCAGGGGTCTGCAATAGGCACGTGGTGCCTCTGCCTATTCACTCCTTAGAGATCATCTGTTGTGCTGGAAAACTCCAAAGGTGTCGTCATCCCTTTGTCCCTTGCAGGGAGGACATGCATGAAGGTAAGGCGTGTGTAAGGAGCGGGGGCAGGTCCTAGCAAGAATGGGAGCAGGAAAAGAAGCAAAGGGGAGAAAACCAGCCTTTTCCTCTCATGGGGCCCCTGCAGTGGGTGACCTTGTGGTTGGTTCGGAGATCAGCAGGGAGAACAGCGTGGCTGGTGCCGGGTGAGGGGTGGGGCCTGGAGAGTGGCAGGAGGAGAATTCAGAGAAGTCAGGCTTGGAGACAACAGATCGTGTACAGCCCAGGGAGTCACGCTAGTTTCTCGAAGTGAGCTGAGAAATAACCTGAAAGACCCCAAAGCCAACACACCTTCATCAGTGATTCTTTCTCCCAAATCTCTGTGAGGAAGCCTGAGCCCTTCTCCGAGCAGGGGATATGTCATCCCATCAGCCTTCAGACGTCCTCAGCAGTTTTCCACCATCTTTCTAGGGGTCAGGACCTCCCTCCGGCTCTAGACCTGTATCTGGCAGATCCCTAGATGCTTTCCCTGCAAGTCTCACAAGGCTCCTGACACTCAAAGTGTCCACATGGCTCTATTGAAAATGGAGTTTGTGGGATGGTTACCGCAGAGTTATGCAGGGCACAAGCTGCATAGTTATATAGGGAGGTCCTGATGTTCTTCCTCTGTGCTCTCACAAAGTTCTGTGCTGGTGATGTCATTTCTCTGGCTAAGATCTTGACTTAACTTCTCTTCTGTCCTCCCAACATTCTATAAGTTCTCTCAGGGCAGGAGAGGATCAGAGTTCCATCTCTGTCCCTGGCACCCAGAAGAGGGGCTGAAATATTGGAGGCCTAAATAGTATTCTACTTACTAAAAAACAAACACATATTAATATGGAAGTTGAGGGCAGTTCTCTAGGTTTTTCTACCTTGTCATGTTTTTGCCATCCGGGAAATCATTGCCAATAACATAAGTCTTCACACGTTCACACACACAGGAAGTCGTAATCATTCGCCAGAGAAGTTGTAAAAGGGAGAGAAAAAAAGTCATGGTTTAAATTAAAAAAACAAAAACAAAAACCAAACCCATAGAGTTATTGAAAGCTTTTAGTTGAGGCAAATCTTCTGTGTTTGAAGGGCAGGCAGGGAGCTGCTTTTACGGTGTGATTTGAGAGATTCTGGGGAAATTTCCCGGCCTGGAATTCTACCCTTAGAGATTTGCAGGGGCCCCCTTTCCCAGTGTAAGCACCGTGTCCTGGGAAGGGCCTACGTCCCATGAGCTCATGTCATTCCTTGGCAGGGCCCCAGCAGGAGAACACTGGGTTACCCAAAACAGCAGAAGGAGAAATCAGGGGAGTCTGGAATAGAGAGGGGAGCCCAAGGGACACGTGACTCCTTCATGACCCGGCCCCAGCGTGACCCAGTTAGAATCTTTTCTTGTTCAAAGGATAGTTTGTTTATTTGGAAAGAAGACGGTCTTTTGCCTTTTTTTTTTTTTTTTTAATAGCTGAAACTTTTTATTTCATCTCCTTGGTCCATTAAACCCTTGAAATAAAACTGCCCCCTTTCAGAGCCTGTCCTCATTTTGGCAAGCCCAGGTGGTCAGTTGTTTGACTCAAAAGAGGGTGTTGTTTGTGTCTCGGTGGGGTGTAGGGCAGCTGTGAGGAGACCACTGGCCCCTCCGTGAGGCCCTCCCCTGGGGGCGAGGGCCTGAGAGGGGATGCACAGGGGGACCCCACACTCCAGGAGGCCGGCGGGGCAGGCCACCCCCGCGGGGCAATGTGATGAGGCCTCTCCCCAAACACTGCACGCACACAGAGTCACGGGGGCTGGCCCGAAAGGGGGCTACTGGTGTACCCACATTAATCCAGATCTCAGTGCTCAAAGCCACTTGCTTTATCCAGTTGCCAAAAATCAGGCAGTTCTGCTCCTGGCCCTGAGCCTTGCAGCGCTGCTTAGCATACAGCTGAGAGAGGGCCAGGGCCCCTGAGCCTGCCGAGCGGGTGAAATAATATCATCTTGTGATGCTGGGTGGTTTGTAAGAAAGTGGAAAAGGGTAAAGGGATCCTAGAATGTGCAGGGTCCCTGGAGGGCACGAGGAAACTCTTGTGTCACAGGCGTAGGAATGGGGCCTGGGTCTAGGGGTGGGTCAGAGGCCCTGTCAGGAGTAGAAGCCTGGCCTCAACTCTATGATTATATTGTTGGATCACTGGGACCTGATGTTTTACTTCCTGCGTAGTAAAAGGAGAAGAGGACTGGGCTGGGCCAAGTCCTGTGCTTTTTGAGCAAAATCATTTTGTCTGACACATCTTTACAAAGACACAGCTGTTATAACATTTTTTTCCCCAAAATGTTCGAGCATCTTATAGCGAGTTCCCATATTTTCTGGAAGCAATTAGATTTCTAGAAGTTTCTATTTCCAAACCATGCTTCATTTGTATTCACCAAAAAATAATTTTGAAATAAATTATTGCTAGAACGGATACAAATTCAACTTCTAGCAGCCACGCCGTGAAAAGGCACTTCTCTTTGGGCTCATTTCTCTTTGTCCAGATCCAGAAACTTGGCTGCCCAGGGCAGAGGTGGCTGCCTTCGTTTTTGGTTTTAGAATCATAAGGTGGGCCAGAGCTGAGCACAGGCTCACTGGGGTACATCCCAGCACAGGAGACTCTTCTCCAGCTGGAGTCCAGTCTCCTTTATTTCCAAGGCAAGGAGATACCTGGCACCGGGGACACCGTTAATGAAAGAATGAAGGCTGCTAATGAAAAGCAACTGTTGTGATTGACAAGCGAGGGAGAGTATATCAGGCCTGCAGAAGCCACTCCCTTTTCCAATTGCTGAATTTCCCTGCAGATGGATTTCTTGCCCTGGCATTTCCACTCAGTTATATGTGTGCGATTTCTGCTTGCCGTTTGCCTAAAACCTGGCCCTAGGAAGTTTCGTGGTAAAATGTTCTGCGGAGATACCAGTTTGCACTTTCAAACTCCCAAGAATGTCAAGTTGGCCTCCTGACTCAAACTTATTGCAAATTCACTAGACGACCCTTCCACGAGATGATCCTCCATTTGAAGAGCTGGGAGAGGAGGAGCTTTTCCCAGGGAGGAAACTGCCTCTGTGATACTGTTTATTCGGCTTGGCTGTAAAGCAGGGAAAGTAATGCATGTTTAAAAAAAAAAAAAAAAGATGCATAATTTACAGCTTCTTAATTCATAAAGAATTCAGTGAATCATGTTGGCCCCATTGGATTCTGGAGAAGTCTGAAAG